ACATGAGGGGCAGTGGAGAGGGGGACATGGGGGGCAGCGGGGAGGGGTGACATGGGGACAGCGAGGAAGGGGGGACACGGGGGGCAGCAGAGAAGGGGAACATGGGGGCAGTGGGGACGTGGGGACACGGGGGGCAGCGGGTCCTGCCGCCGGGTGACTCACAAACTCCTGGTCGTGGTTGTTGGCGAAGAACATCTGGAGGCGCGAGGGCCAGTCCTCCCGCCGCCGCAGCAGCCCGTAGACACCCTTGTGGCCGCACATGTAGCAGTTCCAGGGGTCCTCCTTGATGGCCGCCTGGGCCGCCCCCGGGCCCACCAGCAGGTCCACGCACTCCACGCAGAAGCACCTGCCACGGCCACAGCCCGTGTCGGTGTCGGTGGGGACGGTGGCCCCGGCACGGCCACGCTGTGCTGTCTCTGCCAGTTGTGGCCATGGGGCACGCCGGGACCTGCCCCACTGACCAAACCTCTGCTGGCCCCACACAAAGACTCATGGCTGGGACTGGGGCACCACCAAAACCTCCCCAGCCCCACAGCAGGGCCGTGGCATCACCAAAACCTCCCCAGCCCCACGCCAAGACTTGGCCACCACCAAAGCCCCCACAATGGAACTGTGGTACCACTAAAACCTCCCCAGCCCCACGCCAGGATTGTGGCATCACCGAAACATCCCAGACGGGAAGCAGGACTGGCATCACCAAATTCTGATGCCAGGACTGAGGCATGACCAAAATCTTCCCAGCCCCTTGGTGGGACTGGGGCACTGCCAAAACCTTCCCAGCTCCATGTCGAGACTGGGGCATCACCAAAACCTCTCCAGCCCCACATCAGGACTGGTGCATCACCAAAACATCCCAGCCCAACGCCAGGAATGGCATCACCAAAACCCCATGGCAGGACTGCGGCATCAACCCCAGTCCCACCACCAAAACCGTGCCAGCCCCATGCCAAGACCATGGCATCACCAAAACCCTCTCCCTCCAATGGAACCGTGGCACCACCAAAACCTCCCCAGCCCCACATCAGTACCATAGCATCACCAAAACCTCCCCAGCCCCACACTGAGACCATGGCATCACCGAAAACTCCCCAGCCCCACGCCAGTACCATAGCATCACTGAAACCTCCCCAGCCCCATGCCAGGACTGTGGCATTGCCAAAACCTCTCCAGCACCACATCAGGACCATGGCATCACCAAAATCTCCCCAGGCCCACAGCAGTGCTGTGGCATCACCAAAACCTCCCCAGCCCCATGCTAGGACTGTGACATCACCAAAACTTCCCCAATGGAACTGTGGTACTACCAAACCCCCACCAGCCCCACATCAGGATCGTGGCATTGGCAAAACCTCTCCAGCCCCACACCAGGACCTGGCATCACCAAAACCTCCCCAACGGAACTGTGGTACCACCAGAACCTCCCCAGCCCCACAGCAGGACCATGGCATCACCAGAACCTCCCCAGCCCCACAGCGGGACCGTGGCATGACCAGAACCTCCCCAGCCCCACAGCAGGACCGTGGTATCACCGAACCCCTCCCAGCCCCCCCGGGCCGGTGGCCCCGGACCTGCAGCAGTTGTTGTTGCCGCACATGAGCACCTCGCGGCCGCCGCAGCAGATGGTGCAGTAGGACTGGTAGCCATCGTCGTCGTACTGGTACGCGCACTCCAAGAAGCAGTTCTGGGGGAGAAGGGGAGCCGAGGCCTGAGCCCGATGCCGGGGATGGCGGGAGACCCCCGGGATGGGGCAATCTGGGGGGGACGTGGCCGTGCCCCCCCGGTGCCAGGCCGTACCTTGCAGTTTTGGCACATTCCTCCGATAAATAGAGGGTGCTCCAGGGTGACGTTGAGGCTCCCGCAGGAGATGCAGATGTCTGGGGGGACAGGAGGAGGAGATGTCACCCCCAGGCTCTGCCTCCCCCCAGCACCTGCTGCCACCCCTGGCAAACACTCACCCCCCATGTATGGGTCACACCAGCTTTGCCCCCCAAGCTGGGGAGCAGCAGAGCCCCCCACAAACCCCAATTTGCCAAACAGCCACCGTGGCGCGATGGTGACCCACCCAGGGGACAGTGGGGCAGGGCTCCCACCGCCTGGGGCCCCAGCAGCCCCCCTGAGCCCCAGCCCTTCCCCTGTCAGTGTCCCCAGCCCCGGGCAGTGTCCCTGGGGTCCCTGCCACCATCCAGGAAAGCCCCCCCCCAACCCTGTCCCTGCTGCCAGCCAGGCTGAGGGAGGGGACAAACCCGTCCCCCAGCCCCTTGGGCTGCCCCCCTGCCCCTCAGAACCCCCCCTGCCCCCCCGAGCCCCCTCTGCCCCCCAGCTCTGCAGCCAGCCCTGGGGAGGGACCCCGTCCCCGGGGGCAGGACGTGTCCCAGCCCCACACTCACCTTCGATGTTCCTGCATTTCTGCCGCACCTCGTAGACGAGCCGCTCTGGGGAGGGACAGGGGGGTCAGCGTGGGGGGCACGGCCACGCTGTGCTGTCTCTGCCAGTTGTGGCCATGGGGCACGCCGGGACCTGCCCCACTGACCAAACCTCTGCTGGCCCCACACAAAGACTCATGGCTGGGACTGGGGCACCACCAAAACTTCCCCAGCCCCACAGCAGGGCCGTGGCATCACCAAAACCTCCCCAGCCCCACGCCAAGACTTGGCCACCACCAAAGCCCCCACAATGGAACTGTGGTACCACTAAAACCTCCCCAGCCCCACGCCAGGATTGTGGCATCACCGAAACATCCCAGACGGGAAGCAGGACTGGCATCACCAAATTCTGATGCCAGGACTGAGGCATGACCAAAATCTTCCCAGCCCCTTGGTGGGACTGGGGCACTGCCAAAACCTTCCCAGCTCCATGTCGAGACTGGGGCATCACCAAAACCTCTCCAGCCCCACATCAGGACTGGTGCATCACCAAAACATCCCAGCCCAACGCCAGGAATGGCATCACCAAAACCCCATGGCAGGACTGCGGCATCAACCCCAGTCCCACCACCAAAACCGTGCCAGCCCCATGCCAAGACCATGGCATCACCAAAACCCTCTCCCTCCAATGGAACCGTGGCACCACCAAAACCTCCCCAGCCCCACATCAGTACCATAGCATCACCAAAACCTCCCCAGCCCCACACTGAGACCATGGCATCACCGAAAACTCCCCAGCCCCACGCCAGTACCATAGCATCACTGAAACCTCCCCAGCCCCATGCCAGGACTGTGGCATTGCCAAAACCTCTCCAGCACCACATCAGGACCATGGCATCACCAAAATCTCCCCAGGCCCACAGCAGTGCTGTGGCATCACCAAAACCTCCCCAGCCCCATGCTAGGACTGTGACATCACCAAAACTTCCCCAATGGAACTGTGGTACTACCAAACCCCCACCAGCCCCACATCAGGATCGTGGCATTGGCAAAACCTCTCCAGCCCCACACCAGGACCTGGCATCACCAAAACCTCCCCAACGGAACTGTGGTACCACCAGAACCTCCCCAGCCCCACAGCAGGACCATGGCATCACCAGAACCTCCCCAGCCCCACAGCGGGACCGTGGCATGACCAGAACCTCCCCAGCCCCACAGCAGGACCGTGGTATCACCGAACCCCTCCCAGCCCCCCCGGGCCGGTGGCCCCGGACCTGCAGCAGTTGTTGTTGCCGCACATGAGCACCTCGCGGCCGCCGCAGCAGATGGTGCAGTAGGACTGGTAGCCATCGTCGTCGTACTGGTACGCGCACTCCAAGAAGCAGTTCTGGGGGAGAAGGGGAGCCGAGGCCTGAGCCCGATGCCGGGGATGGCGGGAGACCCCCGGGATGGGGCAATCTGGGGGGGACGTGGCCGTGCCCCCCCGGTGCCAGGCCGTACCTTGCAGTTTTGGCACATTCCTCCGATAAATAGAGGGTGCTCCAGGGTGACGTTGAGGCTCCCGCAGGAGATGCAGATGTCTGGGGGGACAGGAGGAGGAGATGTCACCCCCAGGCTCTGCCTCCCCCCAGCACCTGCTGCCACCCCTGGCAAACACTCACCCCCCATGTATGGGTCACACCAGCTTTGCCCCCCAAGCTGGGGAGCAGCAGAGCCCCCCACAAACCCCAATTTGCCAAACAGCCACCGTGGCGCGATGGTGACCCACCCAGGGGACAGTGGGGCAGGGCTCCCACCGCCTGGGGCCCCAGCAGCCCCCCTGAGCCCCAGCCCTTCCCCTGTCAGTGTCCCCAGCCCCGGGCAGTGTCCCTGGGGTCCCTGCCACCATCCAGGAAAGCCCCCCCCCAACCCTGTCCCTGCTGCCAGCCAGGCTGAGGGAGGGGACAAACCCGTCCCCCAGCCCCTTGGGCTGCCCCCCTGCCCCTCAGAACCCCCCCTGCCCCCCCGAGCCCCCTCTGCCCCCCAGCTCTGCAGCCAGCCCTGGGGAGGGACCCCGTCCCCGGGGGCAGGACGTGTCCCAGCCCCACACTCACCTTCGATGTTCCTGCATTTCTGCCGCACCTCGTAGACGAGCCGCTCTGGGGAGGGACAGGGGGGTCAGCGTGGGGGGGTCCTGCCCAGCACCAGCCCTGCCCCAGCCAGGACCCCTCCGCGCAGCCCCCACAGTGGGGGACAAAGCGAGGGGACCCCCAGGAGGGAAGTCCCCAGTGGAAAAGGGGACCTGGTCCAGTTTTCACCCCAGAGCCCCCCCATGAGCACCACCCTCCTGGCGCTGGGACTCCGGCAGGGTCATGGCCAAGAAACCCCCCCTGCGGAGGGGTGGGTGGGTGCGGGGGCACCCCTGAGCCCCCAGCCCTACCCCTGAGCCCTCAGTCCTACCCCTGAGCCCCCAGTCCTACCTCGGGTGCGCTCGTCGATGATCTCCTTGACCTTGGGTTTCTCCGTTGTGCTTTTCCTGGGTTTTTTGGCGGGTGGGGGGGGTGCGTAGGCAGCGGCTTCTGGCTCTACCCACATCTCCGTGTAAACTTCTTTGTAGGGGTTTCGCTCCTCTGAAAGGGCCAGTGGGGTCTCATCAATGGGGTGTCATCAATGGGGGTCCCGTCGGCAAAGTCCCACCAATGGGGGCCCCAACTGGGGTCCCGTCAACTGGGTCCCATCAATGGGGGTCCCATCAGCAGGGTTCCATCAACGGGGGTCCCATCAATGGGGATCCCATCGACGGGGTACCGTCAAACAGGGTCCCATGAATGGGTGTCCCGTCTATGGGGGTCCTGTCAGCAGGGTTCCAGCAATGGGGGTCCTGTCAGTGGGGTCCCATCAATGGGAATCCTATCAACGGGGTCCTGTCAAAAGGGATCCCGTCAAAAGGGGTTCTGTTAGTGGGGGTCCCGTCAGCGGGGTCCCATCAACAGGAGTCCCATCAGTGGGGATCCCATGAACTGGTGTCTCATCAACAGGGTCCTGTCAAAAGGGGTCCCATCAGTGGGAGTCCCATCGCTGGGGCCCTGTTAGCAGGGATCCTATCGCTGGGGTCCCGTTAGTGGGGGTCACATCAAAAGGAGTCCCACCAATAGGGTCCTGTCAGTGAGGATCCCATCAAATGGGTCCCATCAGCAGCCCCACACCCCACAGGGGAATCTATCTGCCCCCAGCACTTGCCAGCCCCATGGCGCTTCCTCTGCCCAAGGTGCGTTGCCCCAGTGATGCTGGAGCCGATGGCTGGGGGTCCCGGGGGACAACCAGGGCCACCGAGTGGGTCCCCACACCTCCCCCTGTCTCACCTTCGGGGGGCTCCAGCCCCTTGGGGCCGGAGGGCTGGAAGCCGCCCAGGGCCCACTCGATCATCTGCTTGTTCTGGATCTCCACCACCTTGGAGGTGTCGGTCTCGTCGTTCTCGGGGCACGCTGGGAAGATCTTCCCCGCTCTGCTGCTCGCCACCTGCCAGGGAGCCACGGCTGTCACCCCCTCAGCCCAGGGGGTCCCCATCCTCAGGCCCCCCAGCTGCTCCAGAAGCTGCCCACATTGCCCAGTTCGCAGCCCCCCACCCCAAAGGGACCTACACGGTCAGACACCCCCATTATTGCCCCACAAGAAACCCCCAACACCTCCCAGCACTGCCAAGAGCCCCCCCAAGCATCGCCCCACAGGGACATCAGCAACTCCCCAGAGACCCTCAGAGACCCCAACCTGCCCCCCAGCTTCCCCAACAGCCCTCCAGACACCCCTGGCTGGGACAAGAGCCCCCCAGAAGCTCCTTAAGGAGTCCCCTAGATCCCCTCCACCCTTAAGGAGACACCCTGTGCCCCCCAGGATGCTGCTGGGCACAGGGGGCGAGGAAGGGATGGGTCCTGCCAGGGTGGAGGCAGCTGCCTGCTCCCACGGACCCTGCCTGGGGACGGGCACCGGTGTCCCCCTAAAAGCGTGGGAGCTGGGGGGCTGGTGCCACCCCCACTCACCTGCAGCACCTCGTAGATGGCTTTGCGGTACATGGGCTGCTTGTTGTAGGTGGCCTGGTGGAAGGCGCTGGCGAAGGAGCTGAGCGGCAGGAGCTTCTCCACACAGACCTAGGGGACGGGGACACGGCCGTGAGGACACGCGGGGACAGGGACGGGGGGATGCCCGGACCCTCCCCCCAACCCCACGGGTGCCACTTACCACAGAGAACTTGCCATCCCCGAACCACATCACCCAGCGGGTGCCCTCGGCCGCCCGGCTCCGGCCCGTCATCCACCAGGAGACGATGCGCCCGGGCCACCAGGAGAAGCCACGCAGCTTGCCCCACACCAGCTCGCCGATGCCAAAGCCCCGGCCGTCCTGCCGCCGGGAGAGGGGACGGGGGGGGGAAGGTGTCAGGGTGCCCGTGTCCCTGGTGGGGGGCAGCAGCCCCGCAAACCCCCCATCCCCCCTCGCCCTGCCCTCACCTCGTACTCGGGCTCGTCGTCGGCCGACTTGGAGGTGTTCTTGTCGACGGCGTCGGCCACCACGGGCTCAGGCGTGGTGGCCACGTTGGGCGAGGCGGGGTCGGTGGGCTGCTGCGAGGCGGGGGGGCTGGCCTCCTCCTCCTTCTGGGGCTCGGCCCGCGGCGTCTCCTCCACCACGTTCATCACGGCGATCACCTTCGCCTTCTTCTCCGCCTGGGGAAGGGGACACACACACACACACACCAGTCAGGGCTGCACCCCGAGATGCAGGCACAGTGCTGCTGGGGGGTGGGGAACAGCCCCCCCAGACCCTGCCCTGGGCCTGGCAGCCCCCCCCAAGCAGTGGGTGCTATTGCACAGCCTCCCTGGCAGCGTGGACCCCCCCACCCTGCCCTGGAGCAGCTTGGGGGGGGTCCCCTTCAGCCCCACACCTCACCTTCCCTCCGTGGCCGGGAGGGGATGGCTTGGGGACCATCTGCAAAGCTGCTGGGGGGGTGGGGAGATGC